CTGACCCCCGCCGAGATTCAAACTACAGAACTTCTTGCTGTGAGCACTACCTACTGCACCACCGCGTCTAATGATATATCTGTCATTTCTTCCGTCAGGATTTAAAGCTTACTGAACTATGCTGGTTCGAGTGCCTTCTGACTCTGTTGGCATTTCAGTGTGGAGTTTGCATGTTCTCCCTGCCTTCGCATGTGGGTTTCCTCCAGGTGCTCCGGTTTCCCCCACAGCCCAAACACATGTGGTAGCCCTTATGGGGGAATTGATTAACTAAATTGGCCATAGTGCATGAGTGTGTGTGTGAATGTGAGAGTGTATGGCTGTTTCCCAGTACTGGGTTGCAGCTGGAAGTGCTTCCGCTGTGTAAAACCTATGCTGGAATAGTTGGCAGTTCATTTCACTGTAGCGACCACTGATAAATAAGGGACTAAGCCAAAGGAGAATGAATGAATGGATATTGTGCAAACAAATATATTTATGCAATCCAACTCTTATTGGTATATTATTATTAATTATTATAATTATTACAACACAATAGGGGTCAACACAGAGCCTTGAGGCACACATTTGTTGGGATAAACGCATATTCCTTTAGCTACAGTTGAAAAAGGCAAATGTGATTATAATACTAATATAATAATATTCCCAAAATCAGATCAGAGTTGTTGATGATGACCCTAACGCTCATTTTTTAAAATTTCCTTGAAAGAAAATACTAATAAGTCATGTCTTTTCAGATTTGATCTAGTATTTTTGTGCATCTGCTGACTTCGTTTCCACAACAAAAGTGCTTTGAACGCATTTTTGCTTTGATTTCAACAAGTCTGTGCTTTTCTAAGTGAAAAAATGCTGTCTACACTGATAAAGTGACCGTGTGTCAAGTGCAAACAGTGAGAAATATAAACAAAGACAACTCCGGGATTCAGATTTTCAATTGAAAAGTGTTGACTGTGCTTAACTTTATCAATAGTTATAGCTTTGTTTCATGTCATTTGTTTCACATTATACAGTTGAAGTCAGAATTATTTGTTCTCATGTGTTTCCATTTTTTATTTTTCCTCAAATATTTCCCAAATGATGTTGAACAGATTGAGGAGTTGTTCACAGTATTTCCTCTAATGTTTGTTCTTCTAGAGAAAGTCTTATTTGTTTTATTTGGACTAGAGTAAAAGCAGTTTTTAATAGTTTTAAAGCCATTTTAAGGTCAATACTATTCACCCCTTCAGCAATATTAGTGTTGGATTGTCTCCAGAACAAACCACTGTTATACAATGACTTGCCTAATTACCCTAACTTTACCCTAATTACCCTAGTGAAGCCTTTACATGTCACTTTAAGCTGAATACTAGTGTCTTGAAGAATATCTAGTCTAATATTATGGACAGCACCCTTCTGCTTTCCGTTAAACAGAAATTGGAGAAATAAAATATACAGGAGGGCTAATAATTCTGACTTCAACTGTATAAGGTTGAAAACAGCGATTCACACTGTAATAGACCAATCAGTCATGTTCTTTACCTTGTGCTGCTCTATCTGGGTCAGGTATCCCTGTATGTCTCCTGCTATTGGCTCAATCTCCATCTTCCGGATCCGCCCCTCTGTCTGTGTCAGCCAATCAGAGAGCTGCTGAAGCTGCTGCTGCTGCAGGTCCATCAGGACCTCATGAAGCCTGCAGATTGATGAGATTTTATACACACACACACACACACACACACACACACCTACAAACATACAAACTCCTCAAACAGACTTTAACTGGTGTGTGTGTGTGTGTGTGTGTGTGTGTGTGTGTGTGTGTGTGTGTGTGTGTGTGTGTGTGTGTGTGTGTGTGTGTGTGTGTGTGTGCCTTTTTATTCCTTACCAAATGTCCCCACAAGTATAGAAATATCAGTAAATGTTGACCTTTATTTGGCTCCATGAGGAAAATAGCTCATAAATTACACAGAATTAACTCTTGTTGAAATATTGTTTCCTGTGAGGGTTGTTTTAAGGTTATGTCTAAGGCCCAATCCCAATTCTCCCCCTTAGCCCTTCCCCTTCACACTTTCAAGGGCAAGAGAAAGGGGTACAAAAATTAGAACTTTGATTGGGCCTAAGTGAAGTCCCCATAAAGATAGCTGCACAAGTGCAAGCGTGTGTGTGTGTGTGTGTGTGTGTGTGTGTGTGTGTGTGTGTGTGTGTGTGTGTGTGTGTGTGTGTGTGTGTACCTGGACTGTCGGTCCATGCTGGCGACGCGCAGGTTCTCCCAGCGTGAGTTGAGCAGTGTCATCTGTTCCCGGATCTCCTCCTCTTCTTCTTCACTCAGGTTTCCTTGAGCAATCAGCTGGTTTCCTGCCTGCAGGACGTTTCCCACACTGCTCTGGTGCGCCGTCAGCTCCATCATGAACGCCTGAACGCAAGAGAGAGAGAGAA